AAATACATAACAATTTTATTCACTTTCCCTATAAATACATAACAAGTTTATATTTTGTTGCATATTCTTTTTTTTTTTCCTTGCCCTTGCCCTAGCCTTTTGGGGTGGAACCAAAAAAGGTAGAGCTGCCACTATTCACATGAATAGCAGCAGCTCTTGCCTTACCTTTGCCTTAGCCTTAGAGCAAGTCCAGCGGTCAGCCCAGCCCAAGGCTGGGGGGGGAAAAAAAAAAAAGCTGTTTCCACCAGTCAGCCCAGGCCCGGGGGAGGTGTGGGACCCACCAACTCGGTCTGGCCCGAAGGCAGCTTCAGCGGGGAGGGGGGGGGGGGCGGGCGCAGGGCGGCGGGGGGGGGGCGGGGGGGGGCCACGCGGGGTTGAATTTTTTTTATCGTTGGCGTCTGCATTGCACTTGCCAATGGAAAAAAAAATTTAAACCAGCGTGCGTTGACGTCAGCGCGACGCAGCTCCAATGGTTGGAAGCCATGTGTCACGCTCTCGGCGCTCCGATTTGCTTCTACAGACTTCATCCAATGGCTGGCGTTTTTCCAGCAATAAAATTATGTAAAAAAATCGAAATTTGTTTAAAAAATACTAAAAAATTCGAATTTTTTTTCCTATAAATACCTATAAATACCCTTCACTTTCAACACCAATCCTTATACATTTTATACTACTTCTACTATTACTCAACATTTTATTCACTCTTTACTCAACATTTTCCTCTCTTTCACCTTTTATTTTTATACCATTATTTTTATGGCTTCTTCTATCGAAACCGGAAGGGCGTGGAGCACCATGGAAGATGTTTCTTTGTGTGAGGCTTGGCTCCAAGTTTGCCATTGTCCCGTGACAGGCAATGAGATGAAATTTTTCCATATGTGGAAAAAAATTCATGCTGAATTTTGCAAAAAAATTCCGGGGTCGACTCGTACAGAAATGACATTGTTGAGTAGGTGGAAAATTCTCAACAAAGAGTTGGCAAAATGGAGAGATGCCTTGGCAAAAGCGATGAACAACTATAGAAGCGGGGAAAATCGTACTAACAAGGTAAGTATTTTGTAATTTTCGTTTTATTAAGTTTAATGTCCTATTATATATATGTTGTTAATATTTATTGCATTTTCAATATTTTGTTAATATTTCTTGTATTTTAAATATTTTGTTAATATTTCTTGCATTTTCAATATGTTGTTAATATTTCTTGCATTTCCAATTGTTTCTTTATATTTCTTGCACTTCCAATTTATTTGTAAGGTTAATTGCATTTCTATTATTATTTTTTTGTTACATGCATATCCAATATATTTTAAATATTTCTTGCATTTCCTTTTTTTTTTTTTTCTTAAATAGATGATTCAAGCACAGATGTGGTTCGGTGCAACTGGGGGGGGCAAAAAAAGTTTCAACCATCATGAATCTTGGGAGGTGGTGAAATATTGTAAACGCTTCATAATTATTCCCACGGGTCCCGCCGTTGTGTTAAACGAGACGCTACTCCATAATTCAATGACATCGGATTCACCTCTCGATTCCCCTATGAGTGAAGATCGGAGATTGACCCAGGACATTGAGGTCATTTTGGGATTCAGTAACTCTGAAGAAGGCATACCAAACCCATGTGTCGAAGCCAGCAACGGCTTCCAAGATGATACTTTTTTGGCCTTTTCTATTTCCGTAATCACCTTACAAGGCAGTTGGGCAATTCTTCCATTGCCTATGCATGCAGTCAATGCTACCAATCATTCTTGGAAATCCTCGAGTTTCGGCTTTTTGTAGAAGCCGTTGGAGGTCCCTGGGAGTAGGTCTACGCAGGTAGTCCCTAGTGTACAGATTTTCAACTGCATCACAAAATCTTACCAAAGCCTCCAACGCAGTGGACTTCCTCATTCGGGCAATCTCATCCACCTGATCAACAGATGCTCCATACGCCAACATTCGTATAACAGTTGTAAGCTTTTGCTCTTGAATAAGCCCTAAAACCCCAGCAGCATCATACTTTTGAACAAAGTATGCATCATAATTGCAAATATCATGCATGACTTTATTGAACAAATGGGGTTGCATTCTAAATCGCCTTCGAAAATCAACATCAGAGTACAAAGCAGTTGAGATAAAATAATCTTCCAAAAGATTCTTACCCCGAGAATGCCTATGTCTGTCCACATTCCGGCGACGGCCGACTTGTGAACCATGGATGTGACCTTGGTTCTCTTCCTCTTCCATTGCCACTGCTATGAGAACTTGTTCATCGACTTGTCTCTACAACTCATTGATTTCATCGGCTCTACGGTTTCTCTCATTTCTTTCTCACTCTTGCCTCTCCAAGCATCTCCTATATTCTTCAATTGAGAATGAATGGAGTATGAATTCTAAATTCCAAGAAATGAAAATATAGAAAATGTGGTGTGAGAGGTATAAGCTGAGCCTCTAGTTTTATACAAAAATTTGGCAAGATAGAGATGTCACGTGACTTGATTTGATTAGATGAAAATCTTATCTGAAATTTGAAATTCATCCGAAATTTGAACCCAAATTTATCTGAAATTTGAATTTTGAAATTCATCCGAAATTTGAACCTAAAAATTTATCTGAATTTTGAATTTTGAAATTCTTCCGAAATTTGAACCCAAAAATTTTATCCGGAAATTTTATCCGATTATGAATAGTCTTGACACGTAGGAACCCGGAAATCTTATCCAAAAATATGATCCAAATTAATTATTGAGGTAAAAAAATTTGTGAATAAAACAAAAAAATGAATAGTAACAACCCTTAGCCATGACAACGGGTGAAAACACAAAATACTATTTGCAAGGACAACCACTATTCACATGAATAGTGAATGCCCTATCTCCCCATTTGTCATGGCTAAGAGCACCTCCAGCGCCCAACCCAAACTGGGTGAAGGGCTGCCAGAGAGAGCCCGAGGCAGCTCCAGCGCAGGGCCCGTAGCCCGGTTTCGAGGTGGGTCCCACCAGCCCGACGAAGCCCAAAGGCAAGTCTTGCCCGGA